GCTGAGTGCGATGGACAGCCAACGTTCGATTTCGAATTCCGCGGCAAAAGTCTGGATGTTCTCGGTGTGTCTCACACAAACATGTACACCACTCGAACATGCAACCATCTTGTTCCTTATACATAATAAAACTATGATTTCATAATATTTACAGTTGATAGACGAAGCAAGCGGGGGAATCTCCAGGTCACTGCATAGCCCCTCTCCTAGAAGAGTGACGTGGGTGACCCTTCCATCTTCGTGAGAACAGTCACTAACTGGCGTTCTGCGGACCAAGTGGTGAGACATGATGCAGCTGCTGGGGGAGAGCTGGCGCGACAGCATGTGAACTGATACACCACATGAGAGGCCGAACCAGCCGAAGGGTAGATCTGATGGTCTTGAAGAGAAAGTTTCCGGGTAGTGTGTCCCCGGCATAGCAACAGCCCGCATAAGCCACATCACCTGCGTCGGTGAACACGTTGTGTACCATGCTGGCCTACTTGGAGAGGACAGTCAAGTCTTGTTTGGACGGTTGCAGCTATCAATATTTGGACCATTCCGTTCTTCATTCGCCTCCCTTGCTACCTGTTTATGTTGTCCGCTGAGTGTAGGGAGACACATTTCGTCCAAAACTGGTGTTACCCACAGTTATCCTACTATGCGATTCGGGCCAAGTTGGGAATCATAGTGTACTATGCAGTGGCTGACCGAAGTAGTTCTGAACCGGGACAATGATTTCACCCTTCCACGAAACTTTCAGACACAGATCCAGGATGGTGGTTCTGCTACAATTTTGGAGACTGCGCATACAATGTCAGTCGTGATCGCATAAGCCTAGCTTCAAAAGCAACCATCTGCAAAGAATTTATAATTTGAGACACTTAAAAGCTCCTTCACAAAACAAGATGCATGGTACAAGCTTCTTAAGTAGATTAATCCCGGTATCCTTACTTAGTTTAAATATCATAGAATGTTTACTTACCACTTTTAATACTACAGGATGTTTTATTAATAATGTCCCGAGCTAGGAGCGGTTGCACTCAATTGCAGACGTACCCCAGAAAGCTGAATTGCTAGCCATGTGAGCGTAAGAAGTCAATGTTATGCTTGTTTGCTTCAGCTATTTGGGAATGCAATAAAAATGAGCAGGTACG